CTCTAATAAAGTACTGTTAAGAGAACATACACACTGGAATGAAGGATTTGTAAAACACATATCCAAAATATGCAAACAGCTCTTAGAATCGAGAAAAAAGACCAACCTCGTAATAAAATAAAAGCTCAGAACAGAAACCCCACCACATAAGCTCTAGAGATCTGGTAGCATCACGGATAGCAGTTTGAAACCGCCAGTGGTTCCCCTGAGAAGCTGAGGCTTTCTGCTCTTGTAAAGAGCTATAGTCCTGAAAACCACAGGGGCAATTCTAGCCTGTGTTCTAGGGTCACTATGAGTCAATTTTTATGTATTTATTTATTAGGAGGCAGTGAGTTTGGCTTTCTTTTACATTTATTCTTGGTGGGGGTGGGGGTGGGGGACTTGGAAGACAGGTAACAATCATTTGAAAATATATTCAATATTAATTAACCCTGGGGAATTACAAATTAAAGCAACAGTGACTTACCACTGCACACCTATGATAAAGAGTAATAAAGACAAAACCCAGTATGTCAGCAGCAACATTCACTCAATGTTCCTGGAAATGTAAAATGGTACTACTACTTTGGAAAACAATGTGGTAGGTTCTTGTAATGCAAACCATAGCAAAACCTACAATTCAGCAATCACAATCCTGTTTTCCAAATGAGATGAAATCAAATGCTTACGTAAAAACGCACAACATATATCTGCAGCAGCATTACTCATATTCAAGTGACATGTTTTCAATAGATACATGGATTAAAAAATGTGTTGCACTGACAAAATGGAGTATCATTCAGTGGGGGCTGGGGGTGGGAGAGGGACACACACAGAGAGAGAGAGAGAGAGAGAGAGAGAGAGAGAGAGAGAGAGAGAGAGAGAGAGATCAAATCACTCGAAGACAAGGAGGGCTTGTAAAAGTTTCCTCTGGAGAGAAATCAAGTCTGAAAAGCCACATACTACGTATCTATACTAGCACAGAAACTTTTATTAAACAAAAGTATAAAACCACAAAGCTATTGTTTATTTACATACCCTCCCCGATGGCAAAGTTCCCGTCTCTCTAGACTTTCCAGGATGAAGGCTGCACTCTTCTATTTACACCAAATCAAAATCACAGTTTTGGCATTTTGAAGCACTCACAATCCATGTTCTTTTTTTCATATCCTTTTAGTTTAGTTGGTTTATTTTTCCCAAAACAGAAGGAAGCCCACAGGTACAAAAACAGGTTTGTAGGTTGATAGAACAAAGTTTCACAAAGGGATTTTCCAAGGGCAGTCTTTTGTACGCCCAAAGAATGAGGAGGGTGTTGTCTGAAAGGAAAAAGAAACAGTCCTGGTTGCAAAGGTCTTGACCTATTCCTCAACAATGCAGTTTCCAATTGTCTTAGGACTTCTTCATAATAAGTCCCCATGATCTTCCTGTGCCCTTCAAGAACACTTATCAATATTTCCCACAAAACAGTCTCCCAAACAGTTGTCACAAACTTTCAAAGCTGACTTCTTTCCTCTGTCTAAAATTTAGTTGGCCCAACATATCCCTTCGGAAGTCATTTTTGGATTAAATCTGTTTTTAAGGCAACCAATGAGATTAAGATAAATTTATTACTGAGACACTTTATCTGTAGCCATGCATGGATCACTGAGATATGTTTGAATATGCCCTGTATGGAATAAACTTGTGTATGTATGAACTGAAACTTTAGAAGCAATGCATTTTAAAAGTGATCCTCATGTTATTTTAATTACATATCAGTGTTGAAATGAAAAACTATAAATGTGGTGAAAAGATAAGTGTTTGGTAGGTGTCATAGAGACGGATTTATGAATAGGTAGAATACAGGAAGACCAAAGGAGAATGGGTGCATTTGATTTATGGTGCTGGTGAAGAATATTGAAAGTACAAACATCCACCGAAAAAAACAAAAGCAAAACAAAACAAAACAAAACAAAAAACCTGTCTTGGAAGATGTACAGCCGGAATGTTTCTCAGAAGCAAGGATGGTGAAATTTTGTCTCAAGTGCTTTAGGCATGTGATCAGGGAAGAACACCAGGCTTCATAAAGGAGAAGGGTAGTGAAAAATAAGAAGACTCTGGACGAGATCTTTGACACAATGGCTGCAACAATGGGCTCAAACGTAAGAAAAAAAAATGTGAGGATGGGGCAGTGTTTCCTTCGCTTGTGCAGATGGTCCTATGATTCAGAAGTGAATTGAAGGCCCCTAGCAACAAAGAATACAGGATGCATTTAGAACAAAGAAACTGTTCTACACGATACTATACACATAGGTGCATGAGACTATATATTTGTCAAAACCCATAAGATGGCACAAAACAAATTGTGAACCCTGATATAAACAGTAGACTTTAATAAATTATTAATATTCATTCATAAAGTGTACAATTGTACCTCAGAAATCCATGACGTTAACAGTAGGAGAAACTGTGCAAAAGTAAAGGTAGAGTATAAGACCTCTATTTTCTCCAAAAAAAAAAAATCTGTAAATCTAACTCTACTCTAAAAATTAAATTCATCAAACCTCTCAGAAATCAATTTTTAAAAGACAAAACTTCATATGAAATATAGACCAATGAATTTCTAATGTTGAGATGCTGTCTAAGGTTAAAGACATGTAATATAGTCTAGTTAAAGTTGAATTTAATGATGGCTTTATCCCTTACCCAATTTTATTCCAGTTCATCAATAGAAACTATATCTTGCTATAATTATTGATGATTTTTTCTATGCATAGTTTTAACAAAATGATCTAGGAATTTAATATCTACCTAAATTAATAATTTTTAAAACATAAGTAATCATTTAAATCATGGGAAAATTCTTGGTATCTAGAAGGATCCTGTTCAACTGCTAGTAATAAAAGATCTAGTTCAAAGATCTAGCATGTTGTTTTTAGGTGCCTTCTGGATGTCTCCAACTCAGAGGGACTATATATTTACAGAATGAAATACTGAGAAATCCTGTACCATCCTCACCATTTAACCTGGCTCACACTGTATGAAATATATTAATCATGCAACGGGCTGTTCAGAGATTCTTGGTTAGGGTCAATTAATTCTTGGTTAGGTCCCTGTTCTCACTGAACAGTTTTCACGGCCTAGGTGTTTGCTGTTGTTGGTAGGTTTTGGCACTTAATTAGTTTAGAAATACTTCCTGTTTCTGTGCCATCGCACAATTGTTTCTATGCAGTCACCATGTCTGTCCATTTCTCTCAGTCTTCCTCATTTTCACTGACTCTCGCTTACCCAGCTTGTTGTCCCTGCTCTATCTGCTAGTTCATCTGTGGTCTTTCTGCCGCTCTCTGTCTGCGGCAATATGGCAGGGAAATTCCACATTCTTCATTCTGACACAGTTACAGATGGCAAACAGGCATGTTAGAAGACAGGATAACCTTCCCAGAAGCATCCTTACAGATTTCCCTCCATGTCTGCTGACATCAAGTGTGCCAAAGCCTCATTATTGACCCAATTGCTGGGAAGAAAGGCGGGGTTTCCATGGTTGGCATAGCCATATCAGAGCGAGTGGGATGGATGTTAGTGCGTAAACTACTCCAGGTTGCTGTTGATTCAATTCCAACTCATCGTGCTCTCTTGTGATGGAATCCACCTGCCCTACAGGCTTCCTGTTCTGTAGCGTTTACAGAAGGAGGGCTGTGTCGGAGTTGTCTCAGTTAGCAACTGTCTTTGAGTTGCTGGTTGCAAAGTCAGCAGTTCAAACCAACCAGTCATTCCAAAGAGAGACGAGGCATTCTCGTTCTGTAAAGAGTTAGTCTCTCACTGTCCGGCGACAGTGTAAGACGTGACAAAATAATAATAATTTATAAATTATCAAGGGTTCATGAGGGAGGTGGGGTGGGGAGAGAGGAGAAAAATGAGGCACTGATACCAAGGGCTCAAGTAGAAAGAAAATGTTTTGAGAATGATGATGGCAACAAATGTACAAATGTGCTTGACACAATGGATCCATGGATAGATTGTTATCAGAGTTGTATGAGCCCCCAATAAAATGATTTTAAAAAAATAAAAAGATTTAGTCTTAGAAATCCTAAAGAGGAATTCTACTGTTTTATAGGATGGTTGCCAGTCTGAATGGATTCAGTGGCAATGGGCTTGTTTGTTTGTTTATTTGTGTGGTTTAGCCTTTACAGAGTAGATCACCAGATAGCGGTGTTTGTTTTTTGTCCGGCTGGTTGCTATGTAGTTCCTACTGCTAACTTTTCAGGGAGCAGCCGAGCAGATAAGCATTGTGCACCAGCGCTGCGGACCCACTGTATACATTAAGCGTGCGGCTCCAGAAAGCGTTCTGTCTGTGTGACCTATCAGGTAGGGAAAGACACATTTTGGAATACAAGGGTAAAGAGATCATCATAGTTACATAAAGAGGGCATTACGATTTTAGTTCAATTATATATGTTTAATGTTCTAATAGGCATTTCAATTTAAAGTACGTGTTGGACATATCTTAGTAATGATCCCCATGGCCATAAATGGGGGGAGACTGAAAACCTTCTTCTTTATAAATGTAGCCTTGTAAGCATTTTTCTAAGCATGCTTCATTGTAATCTGGCATAGAGGATGTCACACTGAAGAAATGAGTTTTTTATTACATTTGGACCTCTGTAGCACAAGAGGAAAACCCCTGGAGATGGTATTGGGGAAGCTTTGGACTGCTAAAGGATGGCAGTTCAAGCCCACCAGCTGCTCCTTGGGAGCTTCTGTGAAGAATCACAGGCTCAGAAATGCGATACAGGGTCCGTACTGGTCATAATCTCAGTAGCAGCTGGTGGATTAGCACAGGAGGGTGTTCAAACAAAAAATGTTGCCAGTTTTTCACAGGTGAGAAGTCTCTGAGGTATAAGAATAAAGATTTATTTTAATGTAGATAAACAAAAATCTTAAAGAAATCATCTATTTAGTCATGATCATTTAAGGATTGAATCTCTCTAATCTAATGTATTTCCTCAAAACGATATGACATTATACTATTGCTTCTATTACAGTGACTCAAGGAGGCGTGGCTTTGGTCTCTGACATGTGTCCAGATCCTGGAATTCCAGAAAATGGTCGAAGAGCTGGCTCTGACTTCAGGTAGGAGATAATTGAATTATTTTCAAAGCACTTTATGTTCTAACACAAATAGACTTTTAGTTTATCAATTTTGTTTATATAGAATACTCAGTGGGTTAATTACTATTAAAATTATTATACATCAACACCATTTATAGAAAATTTAATCATATCACATCTTAATGAAAAATATAACACATTTTACAATGATACTTCTTACTATATGGACCATAATTAAAATTTATAATATTGTATACAGACAGTCCAAGTGTGACAGATATCTGAAATCCAACAACTTCCACTTTAAAACAAGGCTTCAAACTGATTCTAATCAGTCCCTTCATGGCTGAAAACTAACACAGAAACAGACTTTTTTATTGACATTTTCGGTGATATTTCATGGTAACTGGAACAGGAAAAAGGAAAAGTCAAAGTTCAAATCCCTGCGAGATGGGAGAGCCTAAAGAGACATAATGAGCCCTTTCAGGAACCTGATACTTGAGATTAGCTTATTGGCAGCATCATGGGGAGCCAGGCATAATCAGTGTTTCACAGTGTATCACCATCTTTGAGCAGGGCACTGCCATCTTTGAAGAGGGCAGTGCTATTTCAACTGGGAATGCACACTCTACTTATGCAAAATTACAGTCACTGTGAAACAATGGAAGCCCAGCCCATGTTGCAAGCAATTCTTCATCACACTGACCTTCTAACTGCATGAAAAGGTTTTGGATCCTTGCACCAAGACCTAAACCAGACAAATTCCTTGCCATCAAGTTGATTCCAATTCAGCGTGACCTTATAGGACAGAGTAGAGTTGCCCTTTTGGGTACCTGAGCTTACACATTTTTACATATGCATCTGTTCCAACTGACCTACAAATCCTACAGTTGGGAATGAATTGCATTCGTAGCCTCTATAATCAACATTCATCTTCACAACTTTGTTTTGTGTCTTGAATCCATTTTTTTTCATTGCCTTTAAGTTAATCTTTAAATGAAATGAGGCAAACATTTAATCATAGAATCATAATAGTTTCCTTATATCAACTTTTACCATGAGAAATGCTAGTGGAAATCACCGCAATTTCATTTAGAGAAGGTTGGTAAACAATAAAGACCCCTGGTGGTGCAATGGTTAAGCACTCAGCTATGTAGTAAAGGTCTTCAGTGTGAGAAGAAAATCAGCCACTCAGTGGAAGAGATGAGTTAGCAATTTGTTTCTGAGAAGATTACAGTTTAATAATCTTACAAAGCAGTTTTAACATACGAGGTCATAATTAGTCAGAATCAAAACACAACACGATGATTATAATAGTGCTATTACTTTGAATTTTTGCATTCTTCCAATTAATTCAGAGTTTATCATTAGCCACTTCTCCAGATGGATGCTAGGGTTAGAAGTTAGCTGCACCATCAAAGACTAAAGTGAATGATGAAAGTGATTTCCTCACCAATTTTGGAGAAAATAAAAGAGCCATGTGTAAAGAATTTTGGCTACTGAAATGAGGTGATAAATGCAAGTAAGTTTGATATTATTAAAGAGGCAAGAAAAATGCTATCCAATGAAATGAGAGAAGTAATGGCATGTCCTAAAACTATAGAGACATAATAAAATTTGTGACAACAAAGAAACTATAATGCAATGTATAAATGGTCTTTTTCCACATTTTTTGCATGTGAAAGAAAAAGTGTTTTTTTGTTTTTTTTTAATAGCCCAATAAAGATGTTTCTGATTTGAAAGAGATGATTGGAATTAAAATTGACTAAATATCAATTTAAGTAATATATTTAAAAGCCCATGTTTTGGTTCAAGAGTCCCAGAGGCAGAACATGAGTCTAGAAGCAGAACTAGAAGTGGAATTCCTATTCAAGTGATTTTTGTGGGGGGAGTAGAGGGAACGAGATAAAGCTGGAGTAAAATGAGAAACTGGAAACTGTTTTTTGTAGCGGCTACTTTAGTCTGAACACTGGGTGACTCCTGAAAAATAAATTGTACCAATGGATTGGTCAGCCTTTGACTTCCTTCAGGTGTCCCAGGGCAGTTCTATAAAGCAACAGGTGGTTGTGAGAAGGCATTATCACCCACGTGGATAAGAGAGGGTGGGGTGGACCAGCTGGTTACCGGGTCTAGGGAATACCTGTAGTATCCACTACAGATAGCTTTTGATCAGGAAGAGCAATGAAAAAGAAGAATGATGTTTTCAAATATATTAAGTAGCAGTCATCTGGAAGCATCATATAATTTTATCTCTTCTGAACAAAGCAAATAAATGATACTACAAATCCATGTTAAAACCAAGAGATTCCTGTCCTATGCACTCCTTCTTCATCTCGCAAATTAATTACTCTCTGTCCGCACACCGAGAAAAATGGGAACCATGTCAAAAATAAAAAGTAAAGCTAAAACACACTAATATAGGTATCTCTATTAGGGTTTACAACAACATATTGTAATTGTGTGTTACATATCTATTCCCACACCTGACTTAGCTTTTCCAGTGTAGAGTGGAGTCTCATTCATCTTTGTCTCCTCAGTAATTGAAGCAATGCCTGGTACAAAGAAGCTTAAGGTATACAAGGAGGTACCCCCAAAACACAGAAATACAGCTCCACTGGGCTGTGCTTTTGTAGTACTTTTTTCCACTAGGTGATCATTGACCAACTCACTCTGAGTAGGGCATTACCTGGGAAGGTTCTCCCTGGTCACTGTGAATTTTTTGTACAAGCAATTTCAATCGAACCACATTTTTTGGTAATTGCCCATTTAAAAGAACGACATATGGCTGTGAAACTGTTTCCACTCAGGAAAACTGCCTCAGAAAGTGTTGTGATATTGAACACAGTTCACTAGGACAGTGGGAAAAGTGTGATATTAAACACAGATCAGAAAGACAGTGCTATGGGAAAAACTCAAGTGTACGAGTGATTTTCTCATTTCAAAAATGGTGAAGTGTCTATTGATGACAAACCCTGTTATGGAAATCCATCAACTTCCTGAATGAAAGAAAATGTCAACTTGCAGTACATTTGGAGTTTGTTCTATCAGGTCAGACTGTTAATCAAGCTTTCTATTAAGAGGTTCTGAAAAGATTGTTTGACAGTAGTCAAACATGATAATGGGATAAGAGGTAAGTAAAAGGAAATAGAGGAAAGAACTAGGAGGCAAAAGACACTTATAGAGGTACAAATACAGGCATATATATATGTAAATGTATTTATATATAATGATAGGGAAATTGATCTATATACATATATTTCTGTGTTAAGTATTAAGGTAGCAGATGGACATTGGGCCTCTACTCAAGTACTCCCTCAATGTAAGAACACTTTGTTCTAATAACGTGGCATGTTGTGATGGTCACCTTTGCTGACATGCTCACTGAAGACAAAAGGGGTGCATAAGCAAATGTGTTGAAGAAAGCTGATGGTGCTTGGCTATCAAAAGCTATAGTGTCTGGGGTCTTAGGGGCTTGAAGATAAACAAGCAGACATTTTGCTGAGAAGAAAAAAGCCCATATGGAAGAAGCATACTAGCCTATGTGATCATGAGGTGTTGATGAGATCATGTATCAGGCATCAAAGACCCTGACGAAAATATCAGATCGAAGTGAATGAGTAGAAGGGCAGAGTGGAGATCTAAAACCATCTGTTGACCATGGGACATCCCCTAACAGAAGGGTCACAAGGAAGACACTAGCCCATCAGGGTGCAGTATAGCACTGACGAAACATACAACTTTCCTCTAGTTTTTTAATGCTTCCTCCCTTCCACTATCATGATCCCAATTCTACCTTACAAATCCAGCTAGACCAGAGCATGTACACTGGTACAAATAAGAGCTCGCAATGCAGGGAATCCAGGACAGATAAACCCCTCAGGACCAATAATGAGAGTAGCGATACCAGGAGGGTAAGTGGAAACAGTTAGGGGGTACAAACAAAAGAAAAATGGGTGAAGGGAGACAGCAGCAGGTATAAGACATGAAAAAATAATGATTTATAAATGACCAAGAGTTCATGAAGGAGGTTGGGTGGGAGAGGGGGGTAATGAGCAAATACCAAGGGCTCAAGTAGAAAGAAAATGCTTTGAAAATGATGATGACAACATATGTACAAATGTGCTTGACACATGGATATATGTATGGATTGTGATAAGAGCTGTAAGAGCTCCCAATAAAATGATTTTTTTTTAAAAAAGGCCTGTTTTGGGGCAGACCGGGAACTAGTTTTGCTACCACAACAATGTCCCTACTCACATAGCCATCACAGTGTGCCAGTTTTTGGCATAAAAAATCGGTATGCCTCTCTTGCCCATGCACCTTACTCACCTTATCTCACTCCATGCAACTTCTTTTTGTTTACACGAATGAAGAGGGACATGGAAGGACAGTGATTTGACACCATAGAAGAGGGGAAGAAAAAAATGAGGGAGGTGCCTTCAGTCATCCAAAAAGATGGATTGGAAGTATATTTCCAAGAATGGATTTTCAGATTTGACAAATGTGTTAAGTATAATGGAGAGAACTTTGAATTTGTTAAAGTTGCTTTGTAAAAAAAAATTAAATACTTAACTTAAAAAAAGTGTGTTTTTGGTTTTTTTTGCAGGGGATACCCTCTTGGATATGTCTAATGTACTCTATGTATTAGGCAGATTTCCCCTGCAGCACTCTACCAATCTTGAAATTCTCCCCAGAAATCTAGAAACTTTCTTAGTATTTTGTGGGTGCATAACTCACCTTAGGCTATAGTTATTAAATTATTTCTGATAATACTAACATGTTCAAAGTATAGTTCCTGAAATGGACAGAAACGATTCCATCTTCAAAAGTTATTCGGGAAGTTAGTAATATTCAGGGGTAATACCCATTTTTCACAAGAAAAATAATTAATCTTTGCATTAGGTTCTTAAGTCAATCTCCTGCGCTCACGCTATCTCGTTGTCATGCCACGTTTATCTCAGGGAAGAGGTGAAACATCAGGATAAGCATTCGCTCCAACCATCGTGTTGATTTCGCTATGGGTGAAGATAGGCGGGCATGAGAATGGCCGGTTAAAGGAAGAAGTGTGGAACCTGATCTCAGATGAGACTTTTAGTTTTTCTCAGTTTATATGGAAGGTCTATGCTATTTATATGTCTCAAATGCTGTTAAAGAATATAAAAGCCAGGAAAAGTTATTTAAACTATTATTATTTTTTCTATTAAACCAAATGTTTTAAATTGGTATCATCAAGCACTTCTAGCTTCTAGTTATTCAATGTACAACAGAACCAAATACTGCTTCATTCTATGCCACCCTGTGTTTTAGCCGACAGAGGCTGTCCATTGGGTTGAAGGTGTTTCTCTTTTCTGCTGACAGTCTATGAAACCAAGTCTAACGTCCTCATCCAGGGATGGGTCCCTCATAATAAATGCACATAGTATGTGAGACAAAGACTAGATTCTCAGATCTAAGGAAACTTTTTCCAAGAAAGATTCATTTGGTTGTTCATTCTTCTGGAAATCTATCCATTCAGTAATCTTTGTCAACATCATAATTCAAGGATCATAATTCTTAGATCCTCTTTATTTGATGTCCATCTTTCACATGTGTGTGAAGTGATTGAAGACCACAACTAGTCAGTGAACATTAGAATTTCTTAACACAAGGTCCCTTATTTTTAACACTTTAAAGCCTTTTTTTTTTTTTTTGCAGCAGATTTGCCCACAGTAAAATGTTGTTTGAATTCTTGCCCTCTGGTACTGATTGTGGATCCAAGTAAAATAAAGTCCTTGAATCTGTATTTTCTTCACTTATCATGATGTTGCATACTGATCCTCTTGTGAAAGTTGGTTTTCTCTATGTGGAAGTGTACTTTATATTAAAGCTTGCAGTCACTGACTTCATCAGTAGGTGCTTCTAATCCTTTCAGCAAGCATGGCTGTGTCATGTACATATCATGACAACCTTCCTCTGGTCCTGATACCAAACTCTTCATAAATTCTCAGAATTCTTTTCTCACAATAGAGATTACATAAACACACTCCTAGGAAACTACTATGGATCCAGTTAATTACTCTAGATTTAACTTTCCTGGATTACATCTATAGAAAAATGTACAAAACCAAAACAATCAAACAAAAATAACCACCAACAAGGACCAAATAAACCAGAAAAAAGCCTCAATCAAAAAGCAAGAATATATTGAAAACTTGAACAACTATAAAAACGTCTAAGGAAGATTAAATGACAAGATTTCACATTTTTACCTTACTACATCTGCAGTAATCCACCCTGTGATAAACTCTCTCTGATAGTAAGGCCATGCACATCCATGGTCCACAATCAGAGGAGATTAATGACAGGCTTAATCTATGTGGTGACCCTTAAAATGAATTTTGGGCTTTCATTCTCATCCATAACTTTCTGCAGTTGGGTGTTCAAAGTTTAAGCTCTAGTATCGTTCACTCTTCTGGATTTGGATTTTATCATTTATAATCCTTGGATCACATTGGCTGGCGTGCTTCTTCCTTGTGGATGTAGCCAATGCCTCACTTAAATGACTGCTTATTTTAAAAACCTTTAAGAACCCAGACACTATTCTTTCTAACAGCTGATGTGTTAGGCTCGGTTGACTAGAAAAGCAAATCCAGTGACATTCACACAGGTATAAGAAAGCTTCATATCAAGAAGTAATTATATATCAAGAAAGCATCCCAGTCCAGTCCAACTCAAATCTGTTAAGTCTGATACTTTTCCATAAGTCCCTGTTCAGATTCACAGAGCCACATGTAATGACACACAGTGCAGGTACATCACAGGCCAGTGGGTGCAGAGTTGTGTAGATTCATTACGGTTGATGGAAACATGTCAGGGCTCTAGTAACTCTCAGGGTGGCCAACAAGCAGGAAATGAGAGGGGAAAGAGAACAGGTAGGCCTCAGGGTCCTTCCTTATAAGAAGTCCACTCATCCAAGGACGAAGCATCAGGCTTGATTGACAAGTTCGACTCCACCCCTAACCAATAGTGTCTAGTCAACATAAAATCATATCAAGTGGGCACCACCTGATTTCTTCACTACACCATGCTACAGCACCCATATCTACAATAATCTCTTTGTGAGAACAATTTTCAAGCAGGGCCATCTCATAAAAGCCAACTTTTCTTATATTAGGACTATTATTAATTCTGAGTTCAAAATCCATTCATTTATCAATGGTTTGAACAAATGAAAATCTTGAGTGATGACACAACACAAAATTGAGGGTTAAAAATAAGGCAAAACTTTCAATAACCCCTGTTTACAAAGGCAGAACAAAGCCTGATAAACTAAGACATGCCATAAAAACCCAAGAGAGTTTAAAAATCCCAAATGTATGGTATTTATGAGTCGCCCTTTATCGGGCACCTCAGAGAAAGAGATTTGGACAAAAGTCCAATAATTACAAATCCCTAATCTTGAGACAGTCATTATCTGCTTCTTCGCCCACTAGTGCATTTCAACCGTAAGTCGCAGAAGAGATCAGTCCCTTTATGCTACTGCAGGTATGTCCACCTCACCTAGTGGAACCCATGCTCTTTTGATAGTTAGTGCACTGATCACATTCTGTCCACGAAAGCCTTCAATGTTGCAACTAGAAGTAGGAATATTTTCTTCAGTTCTTTAGTTTTCTTCAGTTATTTAAGTTTGAGTTTTACCTACTGTGCTCTTCCTTTTAATTTCCTAACATTTTGCATATTTCACCACAATGCTTTGTGTTTGAGATCCATCCTTTGAAATGTTACATTCACTTCTTTTATTCACCATTTCATTTTTGACTTTAGGTACTCATTGATCAACATAAATTATCAAGGTACTTTTTCACATTCAGTTTAATCTTGTCTTTCTAATTACCTTTTGGTTTTTCCATGCTTAATGCCCTTGATATCATTCAGAGCTACCCAGTCTTTAGTCTGTGGTGTTTAATACGCTGAATCTATTACTGACATGGTCTCTAAGCTCAGCTGTGAGATGCTCACGCCTTCACTTTGGCCTTGGTAGCTATGTTTTAATTTCCTTTAGCCTTTACTTGAGTAATTGATGGTTTGTTCTTCAGTCATCCTCTGGCCTTATTCTGGCTGCTGCGAATCTATTAAGACTTTATCATTTCGATCCACAAGGATAGTTAATTTGATTCATGTGCACTGAATCTTGTAAGGGTCACATACAGAATTCCCATTTATGTTGTTTCTGAAAGGTATTTTTAATGACTAAGTGGTAGGTCTTGAAAAATTCTATTCTGTCCTATTTTGTATCATTTTATCAGCAAGGCCAGGTATTCCAATTGCTGACCATTCTTTGCTTCCACCTTTTACATTCTGTTACTAGGAATTATCAATTTGCCTTGCATGCTTGAGCACTTTCAGACTATGAATGTTGGCTAAAACCATCAATTTCCTTGACTTTGGTATTATTGGTTGGTGCATAAATTTGAATAATACCTTTATTATCTGGTCTTCTTGGAAGGTATATTTTCCTATCACTGGCAGCATTGTTCTTCAGCATAGATCTTGAAATATTCCTTGTTATGATGAATGTGATATCATTATTCTTCAACTTATCATTCATGGAATAGAAGACCATATTGATTCTCAGATTCAAAATGGCCAATACCAGACCACTTTAGGTCACTAATGCTTAGGATAAAAATACTTATATGTCTCATTTCACTTTTTGACAACTTCCAGTTTTCAATATTCTAAAATTCATATTTTGTACACTCCACATTCAGATTACTTGTAACTATTTTTTTTTCACTTTGAGTTGTGTCACATCAGTAAACAAAAGTCCTCTTTCTCTGCTTATATCATTAATGTTGAGGAAGCAGCTGTACTTCAGTTGTGTTCTGAATGACTTTCAATTCAATGGGCTCGTTGTCTGGCACTATGGAACAGTGTTCTGCTGCCTGTTGTAAGCTTTTCACTGCTTAATTTTTTTTGAAGAAGATAACTAAATTAGTATTTTATGTTTTATATATATTTTTTGATAACTAAATTCTTAATCCTAGTTTGTCTTAGTTTCGAAGTCCTCCTAAAACCTTTTCACCCTTGAGGACACTGCTGGAATTTGAAATACTAATGCACAACATGGTAACGTGCAAGCCACCACAGTACTAAAAAATGACAGACAGGTTGTGGTTAATCCACAAATAAATGTGAACTATTATTTTCCTTTTATGCATTCATATGAGGATAAGTCAAAAATAAATGTTATACTTCCCTGGCAGGGGAGATACCATGATCATGAAGGTGGTTTTCCCAGGGCGAGGCTCACCCGTTACACTCCGGATGTGCTGATCCCTGCGATTTCCCCAAATGTGGGAGACTCGACTGCATAATTTGTGGTGGTAGGGGGCTCCGTTCATGCTCTCCCCTGAAAAAAAAAAAAACAAAAGAAAATAATTGTTATAAAAATCATAAAAACCTTTATTTAGCAACCATCTAAAAATAGGAAGCTATTGTGTCTCAATATATCTTCTACTTTATTCCTTCAAGAGGCTCAAACTGTGTTTTTTTCCAGTAGTGTTTGAGTCAAGGGAATATCTGATAGTGGGACAAGTGAAATCTAGGCTGCGGGTCAAGGAGGTAAAGTTTCCAAGGAAATTCTTGTAAGTGAACATTTGTTACCCTCCCATAATGAGCAAGTGCAGTTTCGTGATGGGAAAAAAAAAATACTCAGAGAAATTTTCCTTTAAAAACTTCTTCATGAAGAGTGTCCACATCCATTCTGTGTGATTTAAAAAAATTATTAAGATTACCCTTTTGGAATACACCCCACTAAAAATTATCATAATCACCTCTGAACTGACCTTCCCTCCCTGCTCTGAATTTAACTTGGTCAGAAAATAGCCTTGGACACCATACATCAATGGTACTTTTTTTCTAAGACACCCTAACTAGAAAAAGAGGTAACCCCAGTGGTGTAGTGGTTACATGTTGGACTGCTAACCTCAAGATCAGCAGTTCAAAACCACCAGGCAATTGGGAGAAAGATAGGGCTTTCTACTCCAATAAAGAGTTATCGTTTTGGAAACTTACAGGGGGAGTTCTTCCCTCTCCTTTAAGGTTGCTATGAGTCAGAATCAACTCGATGGAGCTAACTGAGCGGCCAACCCCAAGGTTAGCAGAACTCCCAATGGAAGAAAGACAGGACTCTAGACTCCCATAAAGAGTTACAGTCTCAGAAGCTCACAGGGGCAGTTCTTCCCTGCTCTAGAGGGTCACTGTGAGCCAGTCTTGGCTTAATGGGAGAAAGAGAGAGAGAGAGGAGAGAGGAGGGAGGAGGGAGGAGGGAGG